GGAGGGAGCTGGGGGGAGGCACACAGGTCCCTGATGTTGGAGGAGGGAGCTGGGGGGAGGCACACAGGTCCCTGATGTTGGAGGAGGGAGCTGGGGGGAGGCACACAGGTAACTGATGTTGGAGGAGGGAGCTGGGGGGAGGCACACAGGTAACTGATGTTGGAGGAGGGAGCTGGGGGGAGGCACACAGGTAACTGATGTTGGAGGAGGGAGCTGGGGGGAGGCACACAGGTCCCTGATGTTGGAGGAGGGAGTGGGGGGAGGCACACAGGTCCCTGATATTGGAAGAGGGAGCTGGAGGGAGGCACACAGGTCCCTGATGTTGGAGGAGGGAGCTGGGGGGAGGCACACAGGTAACTGATGTTGGAGGAGGGAACTGGGGGGAGGCACACAGGTCCCTGATGTTGGAGGAGGGAGCTGGGGGGAGGTACACAGGTCCCTGATGTTGGAGGAGGGAGCGGGGGGGAGGCACACAGGTAACTGATGTTGGAGGAGGGAGCTGGGGGGAGGTACACAGGTAACTGATGTTGGAGGAGGGAGCTGGGGGAGGGGGAGGAAGGTGATGAGGCAGCAGGGTATGAGGTGGGCGGTGGAGCCAGACCCTGACACTACTAACCTCTCTGAGCCTCAGTTTTTCATCTGTAACTATGGGGGTGTAATTATAAGCCTTTTACAGGATGATCAAGATAAAATGTATGTATGACTCTGTAACCTTTTTGAGATAGGATTTGTGCCCTGCACATAGTAATCTGAGTAAATATTAGCTGTTTTTATTATAAAAAGAGGTCTCTCCACGGCTGGAAAAACAAGGAGTGGACGTTTCTGTTTCTTCCCACAGGGGAGAGGGACAGGGAAGGGTGCTGATAATGAAACCTCCTCAATTCCTAAGAGTAGAAAGCATTGACCAAAAGAAGCCAGGAGTGGTTTTCACAGTCCAGTGCCTGGAGCGCGGGGCAAAGGTTTCATGCAGACACCAGGGCAGCCAGGCTCCGCTGTGTCCCTCCCCTGTCCGGGCCCCTGCCGCTGCCGTCCTCAGTCCCACTGGACAGACGGGAGGGGCACTGGATTCAGGGCCTGGTTCATGGGCTTGTGGTCCAGTCGGCTGCACGGGCCCACGCTTGGACAGGACCGTCAGATGTAATGTCTGTTGTTGCCATCTTGAAATTCTTAGTGGTTTTATCCTTGAACTTGTGTTTGTAAGTGAAGTTTGATGAAACACTGGAACACGCATTTGAGCGAAGGAAATACTCAGAGAGAGGAAAATGCTGTGTATCTTGGTACCTTAGATGACACTTTTTGTGCTTTTTGAATAAGGAGCCCTGCGTTCCAATTTTGCGCGGGGCCCTCAAATGACAGCCATTCCGATCAGACTGTTTCTCTTTCTGCCCGCTGGGCCGGGTTACCGTTTTGAAGTCTGATGGATAAAGTGGGATTCAGCAGTGACCTACAACTTGAGGTGAGCCAGGGGTCGTGGTAGGAAGCCCAAAGCACGGCGGCAGGCCTAGTGGGAAGGAAAAGCATCACTGTCCAGTGGACGGGGGCGGCCAGGCAGCCTCCGGCAGCCTGAACTCCATCAGCTGACCGGGCTTTGGGGGCCTCGCCCTGCCCACAGTCCGAGCCTTGTTGAATGAGCTGAGCATCTTTGGGTAGCAGCAGGGGTTCAGGAGGAATGGGTTAGTGCCTGCTGAGCAAGCCACAAAATCCCACAAACCAGGTCCAGGGACAGTATCAGGGGATGCAGTGTGGGGGAGCCCCAGGGCAGTGGGATCCAGGCCCTCTGTAGCTTAGTGCCAAAGCATCTCGTTCCAGAACTATTTTGTTTTCCAGTAGGAATCCCCCTCATCTCTATGACCATGATAAATGCCCAAAGAGATTAATAGCACAGTGAATCATAAATAATAAATTAGTGCTCATGTATTTTGCCAATATTGCTAATCATTAATAGTGCTTGTTACTAATAATCATGACAATAATAGAAGTGAGAGCTGTACATTAGGAATTAAGAGATTTGGGTTCTAGCCCAACTTAGCTGCAATTCACTGGCATAAAATATGCAAGATCTCGAGTTCCTTCTCGGTTTTTCCATCTGTGAAATAAGGATGATAATAGCTGTTTTACTACTTACCTTGTACAGTAGGAAGGTCAATGTCTATCTTGCTTGCCCAGGAAAGGGACAGACTTAGGAGGTGCTCACTAGATGTGTGTTGAATAAATAACAAAAATATGAGTGGTCATGGCTGTTACGACAATACGCCTCGCACATCCTTATATGGAGAAGGGAAGGCAGCCACTTGTGCTGTGTCCTCATCCTGTCCCAAGCCTACCACTATTTCCTCTGGGAAATGGGGTTACTTTGTAGCTGAGCAAACTGAGATACAGGGACATAAATTCATTTGCCTCAAGTCCTACAGTTTGTAAGTGACTAACCAGGATTTGAACTAAGGGTGTCTGGTTCAAAGCTCTATGCCTTGTCACGGTGCCTTTGCTAGGACAAAGTTCGCCCTAATTTAGGGGCTTGCTGCAACTGCTGATGACCAAAATTAAAAGTTTTTATCTAGCCCGGCCGGTGTGGCTCAGTGGATGGAGCGTCATCCCACGGACTGAGAGGTCCCAGTTTGATTCCGAGTCAGGGTACATGCCTGGGTCGCAGGGTGATCCCTAGTAGGGGGCGTGCAGGAGTCAGCTAATGGATGTATCTCACGAGGATACATCTCTACCTCTCCCTTCCGCTCTCTCTAAAAAGTCAATAAAGCCCTGGTTTGGCTCAGCGGTTGGAGCGTCGGCCTGTGGTACAGAGAGACCCGGGTTCAGTTCCCGCTAAGGGCAAGTACCTCGGTTGCAGTTTGTTCCCGGCCCTGGTTGGTCGTGCGGGCGGGTAGCAGCCACTCGATGTGTCCCTTCACGTCGATGTTTCTCTCTCTCTCTCTTCCTCTCTCTCCCTCCCGCTCTATCTGAACAAACAATGGAAAAATGTCCTCGGGTGAGGATAAAAAAAAAAAAGTCAATAAAAACATATTTTAAGAATGTTTAAAAAACAAGAGTTTCTATCTATACATCTAACATTTTGCTATTGTGTTTGAAACCGGTGGCCTCGGGACCTCTTCCTTTCTCTGTTGTGATTGTCGTGCTCCCTCATGACTCACACGCAGGAGGACCGGGCCCTCCCCTCCCCGTGGTTCTGTGCTCTCGTCAGCTCTCTCGAGGGCCCTCACAACTTTGCGCTCGAGTGCAACAGCAAGATTAGAAGTCAGATTTCTATCATTTAGCCAAAAACAAAAGTACAACCAACGAACAGAGGAAAATAGTCAAGCGTGCCACTAGTAAAAAGAAATGTCCATGAAAAAGACAATGACAAAACAGGCCAGACGAAACAGTAAGTAGGGACACCGAGGATGGCAAGAAGCCCTGTGATTTGCACCCTCATTCTCTGACGGTAGAGGACAGTCCCCAACTTTACAGAAAGCACCGTGGTCACAGGTGTCCCAAGGCTGGCCAGTATCCACAGAGGAGCGCGGTTTCTGCAGCACTGTGGGAACACCATCGTGTCTGTTGACACATAGATGATCCCCCACCTGGGGCTCTATCCCAAGGAAATAATAGAGATGAAATCGAAACAGAAATGTCTATCCCAGTCTCAATAATAGAACAATGATTAAATACATGATAATGCATCCATAAGGTACAATATTATAGAGTAATTAAAAATAATATTTTACAATATGGAAATTGGCCACCATAGAAGGCAAAATGAATAAACATCTCTATACAATGTTTCACCTATTCCTGTTTCCTAGTTTTGTAAAAGAATATATATTTGGCCTCATGTGTTTATTCAACAAAACTTATTGTGTATTCTATGAGCCAAACACTAGGTATACAATGGAAATAAAACCCAATCTCTGCGTTTATGGAACTTACAGAATAATAAGGGATTCAGCTATTAAACAATCACACAAATCAATAATTAAAAATCCAGTGATTGCTAGGACAGAAGATTAACTACTGTGTGTAAGAGAGTTGAACACTGGAGTCAAGTGTGCCACAGGGGATCATGGGCATGTTCGCTGGGGACGTGGTGTCTCGTCACGAGAAGAGGGGTGGGAAGAAGCAGCAAAGGGGACGGTGCCTGCAGCAGCCTGAAGTGGCCCAGCCAGGATGCCCATGGCACTGGAGCGGATGGACAGGGGACCATCCTGTGGGCACTGGACCGGGTACTGTGGAAGGGTTAGGGGCTCAATGCCATCCAGTCGACACTTCCAGAAGATCGCCCTGTAACAATAAGTAAGAACGGTGAAGAGTGGGTAAGGAGACCACATCTGAGGAGCCCACCAGGGGCTCGTGGCTGCCCTGCCTGGTACTCTTCCCAGATGCCACGTGAGCCAGGCTTTCCTCTGGGGCGACCCCAGACTCAGATGCCTGCAGACTGAGTGTGGAAGGGACTTGACACATCACTCCCTCTGTCTTTCAGGACAGGGCTGACTTCCATTCACTCTTCTATTCAGCGCATTTTCAAATGCCAAAAGAAATGGGGCTCCTTACCACCCCAATACCCACTGCTCGTGCCATCTCCTTTTAAAGTCAGGTTTTGGCCCGGACCAAATGAAGCCCCATCTCAAAGTCTAGAAGTGCAGCTTCTCGGAACTCGGGATCCCAAGGACGCGAGGCATATTTATCAGTGGTTACCTGGGAATGGTTCGTAGGCAGAGCAGGTGCGTGGGGGAAAGTTCTCACCAACTTGATTTCATGCTAACTGCTCATGATTCCTTCCAGCGCTCTGTGAAGACCCGTGGCAACTTTCTGAGCATCTGTCTTGCATTTGCGTAACAAGTTAATTAACACTTTTTGTCACTCTGACAGCTTTGGCGGGGAGGAGAGGAGGAAGCGACAGCCAGTGCTGCCTGCGGTTAACCCTGCTGTCACCCAGCCCAGGAAGAAGGCGTCTGAGTTTAGCATTGTCAAGGCAGAGGTCTCCACACTGACCTCTCTCCTTCTGTCCACAGCTGGGGCACCCAGGGCGACTTCTCCACCACCCACGCACTGCCCGCCGTGAAGGTGAAGCTGTTCACGGAGAGCACGGGCGTCCTGGCCTTGGAGGACAAGGAACTCGGACGGGTAAGCACTTCCCATCACAACAGGTATTCGTCACAAAGGACAGGTGTCTGCAGGTCCCAAGAGACAGCATTGCCAAGCGCTGGAAGACCTGGCTGTGCCATTTACATCCCCGGCTCCACTCGATGTTGACTGCGCAATGAGCAAGCAAGACCCTCGACCTCTCCCAGCCGCAGCTCCCCAGTCTGGCTGCACTGCAGAAGACCGAGTAGGGGTTCCCAAACCCGCCGGCCCAAACCCCCTTTACTTCACAGTCCTCACACCCCTTATTATCCTGAAGTGAAATTCTTAGATAATCTAACAATCCGACCCATCGAACAATCTTTAAATCAACTCATCCTATCAAGGGGAAATACAAGGACATTAATCAATAATAATATCATTTCAAAATGTGAAGCTCCAGGCACAACTGCACTAGACCTTAAGAAGGGGTCCCCCCGGAGAGTCGTGCCAGGACAGCCACATAATCCACTGTGGCGTCGGCGACCCAGAGGCCTGAGTACCGGTGAACTGACTTCTTGGATCGATAAACAAGTCTTGGTAACAAAATTTCCTTGATTTCCCTGGAAAAGTGCCAAAAATACTTTGAGTGTATGTGTATGTGTAAAAACAAAAATTAGGATGAGTTCATTATAAGCAGGCTTTTCCACCTCCATTCCTGTTCGGTGGGAAGATTCGAGTCAGGCTGGGACACAGGACAATTCCTCAGTGGGAAGAATTATCACTCCTTTCTGGGATATTTATAGTATCCCTAAGCCCCACCCATTCAACACCGACAGAGCTCAGCATAAATTATTTTTCCAACCAAAAACATCCGGGGAGGGGGGTGCTCCACCCTTTGAGTACTACTGAGATGATAAAGATATTTCTTCTTGCATCACAGTTATTGACGCTGCAGCAAAAGGCCAGTGGTGTTTTCAGAATGTAAGTCAGCTTGAAATGCTCACACTGCTTATGGGAGGGAGATCTGACTCCGGAGCAGCTTACAAAGGCTCAGTGATGGGTGATCCGGCTTCTGCCCACCGCAGCCCAGTTGCTGCCCTGTGCCCCAGTGTCCTTAGCCAAATTTCAGTCCCGCAGATAAGCCCATCTTTCCCACCTCAAGGGGCTTTCTCTCTGCCTGGAGCTCTGGCCCCACCTCCCACATTTTCGAAAGGCAATCTCTTTATAAATGCTCCTCCTGGGAGAGCCTTTGCTGACTTCCCATCCCCCTCCATCTGCTACCTCAGCCCCTATTCAGTCCTCCAATGAACCTGTCACCATTGAGAGAAAGAATTTACAGAAAGTGTGGCCTCTGTCTTCCCCACCAGACTGCAAAAGCTCCATGGAGACAGAAATCTAAACTACTGTATCTGCTGCCCATTCCCAGAGCCCAGCACAGAGACTATCAATAAATTTCATTTCATGCTGGCTGAATGTATAATCCCTTCTGAAAGCTGTGTTACTTCAACCAAGACATTTAACCTCTCTGGGCCTCTGATATTTTACCTAGAGAATAAGAGAATGCCCAAGGCAAGCACACAGGCACACACATAGCAACGCCAACAAGAACACATCAACCATGCCTTCTGCTTTCTTCCATTGTTTTCCACTTTCTTATTCTGGCTTTCATCTCCAGAGCTGACCTGGACGCATCTTACTAGGACCCAGACCACAGATGGAAGAAAACAAAAAGTAAACAAGGCTAATAGCAAAAAAAAAAAAGTGCCCCCCCAAAGGAGGGGGATGAAAGAAAAGAAGACATTTAGTGTTTTCTTTGAGAAGTAGTCATTTCTGTCCCTAGGGACAGAGAGATACACGATGGGAAATAGCCCACCTCTTATTGTTCTTTTCCACGAAGAATCCTGTCAAGAACATGAGCGTCTCTGAGAACTAGCATATGAATGGTAGAAGAGACACATTCCAGGAGCACTCAGCCTGAGTCCATGGGGCCCCCGGTGGCCGGGAGCCCCTGGAAATTGTTTGCAAATGGTGAGGAGGGGGGTACGTGCATTTTTCTGGACTCACTAGTTCAAAGCTTTCACCAGCTTCTCAAAGCTGTTCCCACTCAGGAAGTTGAAGCCAGTGGGCTAGTCGAGCCCTTCCCCTTATAGATGAGAGAACTGATTCTGAAGAAGGCGGGGAACCTGCCCAGAGCCACCCTGTATGCTGACTATGCATCGCTGTCCGCTTACCACCGGCCAGGCCACTGTCCTCAGGACTTATGTGCAGCCCTGGGTGACCCTGATGAGGCAGCTGTGGTTATAACTCCTCCTGCACAGAGGCGCATGCTGGGTCCAGAGGCCATAACTTACCAGGAATGATGCTGCCTCGTCTCCAGGGCCATTTTTCCTCTACCACCGTGTCCTCAGCAAAAATAAAACCCTCAGCTCTGTGGCCATGAGCTTGCCACAGCCCCCACACAGCCATTCTTGTCTTAATATATTCCCCCAGATACTAGTTGACACTTGTTCCTGCCAAAGAAATTTTCCAATTGCAGTGGAGCTGGCCTGCCTGGCCTGCGTGCCAGCTGGGGCGCCCTCTGCTGGCAGCACCTGCACAGGCAGCAGCTGGGTGACTACTAGACAGCCTTTTTTTTTTTGCAGGAAAGAATTAAAAATTTATTATTGTAAGATTCTTTTTTTTTTATTGTTGAAAGTATTACAGACGTCCCCCTTTTTTCCCATTAACCCCCTCCTTCCCACTCCCACCCCTCCCCTGCTTTCCCCAGCCTAGTGTCCATGTTGATTTGTTGTGCATATATGCATATAAGATCTTTGGTTTATCTTTTCCACTGATACACAGTCTTTTCAACGTTCCTTGGAACCCTCAGGAGAGTGTTTCAAAGCTGCAGTTGTTCCCAAGTTTAGTGGGACACAGCACATTCAAAATTCCAGTTCTACGTTCATTCATTCTACAATATTAATTTGTTCTATCCTTATTATGTTTCATTTTTATTAACCTAGTTTTAAAATTCCTGCATGCTGTAAAAAATTAAGATAGACATGTAGTGATACTATTGATCCCTTCCACCTCACCACAGTATTCTTTCCCAAAGAAAGAAACTTGTTTTCAGTTTTTTTATTTTTTTTAATTTATTTTTTTGTTACATATATTTCACCTTTTTTTACCCATTGGCACCCCCCTCCCCACCCCACCCCCACCCGATCCCCGGCTTAATTGTCCATGTCCATTGGTCTTGCATACATGCATATAAGTTCTGTGGTTTATCTCTTCCCACCTCCCCCCACCCCCTCTTCTGAGGGATGTCAGTCTGTGCCCTACTTCCATGTTTCTGGGTCTACCATATTCCTCAGACTGTTATGTTCATTATATTTCGTATATAAGTGAGATCATGTGATATTTGTCTTTTTCTGCTTGGCTTATTTCACTTAGGATAATACTTTCCAGGTCTCTCCATGTCGTCTCAAAGGATAAGAGCTCTTTCTTTCTTACCGCTGCATAGTACTCCATTGTGTATATGTACCACTGCTTTTTTATCCATTCATCTACTGATGGACACTTGGGCTGTTTCCAGATCTTAGCTATTGTAAATAGTGCTGCTATGAACATGGGGGTACATATATTCTTCCTGATTGGTGTTTCAGGCTTCTTAGGGTATATTCCTAGAAGTGGGATCACTGGGTCAAATGGAAGTTCAATTTTTAATTTTTTGAGGTAACACCATATTGTTTTCCATAGTGGCTGCACCAGTCTGCATTCCCACCATCAGTGTATTAGAGTCCCCTTTTCTCCACACCCTCGCCAACACTTGTTTGATGATTTGTTGATGGCGGCCATTCTGACAGGTGTGAGGTGATACCTCATGGTTGTTTTAATTTGCATCTCTCTGATGATTAGTGATGTTGAGCATTTCTTCATATGTCTCTTGGCCATTTGTATGTCCTGTTTGGAGAGGTGTCTATTCAGCTCCTCTGCCCATTTTTTAATTGGGTTCTTTGTCTTCCTTTTGTTGAGTTGTATGAGCACTCTATATATATTGGAAATTAACCCCTTATCTGATACTTCATTGGCAATGATGTTCTTCCATACAGTGGGTTGCCTTTCCATTTTGATGATTGTTTCTTTTGCTGTGCAGAAGCTTTGTAGTTTGATGTAGTCCCATGTGTTCATTTTCTCCTTTATTTCTGTTGCCTTAGGTGATGTATCAGTGAAAATTCTGCTCCATATAATGTCCGAAATTTTGTTGCCTACATTTTCTTTTAGAATTTTTATGGATTCACAGGTCACATTTAAGTCTTTTATCCATTTTGAGTTTATTTTTGTGTAGGGTGTAAGTTGATGGTCTAGTTTCATTTTTTTGCATGTAGCTGTCCAATTTTCCCAACACCATTTATTAAAGAGGCTGTCTTTACTCCACTATATGCTCTTCCCACCTTTGTCAAATATTAATTGAGCGTATTGCTTGGGTCCATTTCTGGGTTTTCAGTTCTGTTCCACTGGTCTATATCTATATGCCTGTTCTTGTGCCAGTACCAGGCTGTTTTGGTTACAGTAGCTTTGTAGTATAACCTGATATCTGGTATTGTGATCCCACCTACTTTGTCCTTCTTTTTCAAGATTGCTGTGGCTATTCGGGGTCTTTTTTGGTTCTATATGAACTTTTAAAGTATTTGTTCTAGTTCTATGAAATATGTCGTTGGTATTTTGATGGGGATTGCATTGAATCTATAGATTGCTTTGGGTAGTATGGACATTTTAATTATGTTAATTCTTCCAATCCATGAACAGGGTATGTGCTTCCACTTTTTTATATCTTCCTCTATTTCTTTTTTCAATGACCTGTAGTTTTCTGCAAATAGGTCCTTTACTTCTTTGGTTAAGTTTATTCTTAGGTATCTTAATTTTTTTTTGGCGCGATGGTAAATGAGATTTTTTTTCAGTTTCTCTTTCTGTGAGTTCATCATTGGTGTACAAGAATGCCGTCGATTTCTTGACATTAATTTTGTATCCTGCTACTTTGCCAAATTCCTTTATTAAATCTAGTAGATTTTTGATGGAGT